GTACAGTGGCCAATGTGACAGTCGGTCCCCGAGAGCGATTGCGCTCTGGGGAAAAGACTGAACAGTACGAAAGTATGACGGAAAGTACGTATATTTACAATGGAAGTTCAGCATTAAAAAAAACAGGTAAAATCGAAAAAAAAAACGATATCCTTTATTTTACTGTTTAAATATATTACGGTTCCTGTAGAAACTGCCCTCCAAGTGGCGCGCTGGGATGAGCGCTAGACGTTTTCGAGCTCGCAACGGCGTCGCTCCGTACACTTAACACTTGCCGCAAGTCGCGGCTTTGACTGCATTCAAGTTGATCGAAAAGCGATTTCTCTGCCCGTGAAGCATCACTTCCAGCTGAGTGAATATCTGCTCTACAAAGATTAATTTAAGACGGCAATTGCAGCCGTGCGCGAACAGCAGAAATAGAAAAACAAACACTACAATAGAAATACTGGCTACGAAGGGCCGTGCGGGAAAAAAAAACTCATGGCTTGGAACCACATTGGAGCGGCTCGATTTATTGGCTTTCAAAAAATTACGGCATGATCCAGCGTTTTCTGTTTAATAAGAGATTCATCCCCTGAGCCATTAAAAATAGTCTCAGATGTATGACATTGCTGGAAAAAAATTAACATGTTCGGAATATTTTTTATTGCTTAGGGAGTCACCGTAAAATTCCGTACGTTCAAAACGACCAGTATAAAAGACGGTAACGCAGGGCTCGGGAGGAGTGATCGGGGTAGTGTGCTGTTGTTGTATTGATGTTTGTATGTGCGATGCCTGTGTATGCGCTCAATATGTATACACCTGATGCTTGCAGTGTGTGTAACGTGTCTACATATGTTAGAGATTCCCGAAGAAAAGGAAACGTAATTGTAACGTAAATAAATAAAAATATTTTTTTGTAAAACATAAATTGGGCGGTACCTAGCGCCACCTAGCCTAGCTACTTGCGATTACTCTGCTTGACCCTGCCATCTGGTGGCAAGCGATTTAACATCCTTTTACGCTACGCGGCTACGCCATAATTTCTTGTTACCGTGCTGAGGTAAGCCAAGAGGTTGCTTCGGATTTCCTTCTTTTTTGAGAGCGGCTTTTGGTTTTGCGGGCGAATGATTTTCACTCCTCCGTGATGTGCGGTTGACGCAACGGTTGACGAAGTAATTGTGGCTCGAGGAATAGCAAAGGTAAGACATAAAGTGCGCGAACTGGGTGCCTGTTGTCTCCGTTGAACATCGCAGTGCTGACGATGAGAAGACTGAGTGACTGCATGCTTTCGAAACGTAAGTTTCTTTACCTGCAGGGGTAAAGAAACTTCGGAAATAAATACAGTTCGCGGAAAGCTCGTGTTACGTTTTTATTTGCTGCTCCTCTCTCTCCGTACAATAGACTTAGTCTTCTCATTAAGCCTAATCGAGCTCGATTTGCTCGATTCGTGGCCGCCATAATGAGATGCAGTCGACGGAGGAACTTTGGCTCCCCTGCTTCTGGGACGAACGTTTCTCCCTTTCTGAAGGAACATATGTGTCAAGAGCGTTCCTCCCTTTAGGGAGGACTATACTGACCCTTCTTTTCTAAGAGTGCATGCTTTGAGTAAAACGATGTTGTATATGCCCATTAAAGCGCCTTGTTATCAGATAGCAAAATAGTTCAAGATAGAGCCAATTCTTGAGTGGCATTACGAGCGCCAAATTTTTTTATTTATTGAAGCATGAAAAGCTTTTTAACAGAACCCCCATTCCAAAAATTTTGCCCGTCCGTTCGTCCAAGCATTTTCGGCAAAATTTAGCGGGGAAAAAGTATTGGTGTTTAGGTTACACGACGTGAATTCATTCACGTGACCTGACGTCACATTATACCTCAATTCCGTTTCCCCGTTAAATTTAGCGTGAATGTTGACGTGACACAAACTTACTTCACGTGACCTACACTACAGTTCACTTTCTCCGCTAACGTTAGAGTGAAATTTGATGTCAGGTGACTGACTTTACGTAACCACCTACTCTAACTTTTCCCGGCAAATTTAGAACACATTTGGTGTCGCATCACAAATACAACAATTCAGGCACTCTGTCCAAATTTGGTGGGGGAATCGGCGTCACATGACTTGTCAGCACGTTGCCTACACACCAATTCAGTTTCCCCGCTACATTTTACGGGGAAACCGATGTTACGTTACCTAAACGCCTTTAAATTTCCGGTAAATATAACCGAGAAATTGGCCTCACAATGCCTAACAAAGGTGGCAAGTACATCAATACAATGCTTTCATTAAGTCTAGCCGAAAAACTGACTTTGCATGACCTATACGCCAAATTTGTTTCTCCCTTTAATTTGGGGTGGAAATTGACGCCACTTGATCTATGCACCAAAATTTCCCGGTCCAGGCATGCAGCCGAGAAATTCAGAAAAATTCATGTTCCTCATTTGCTGGAACGACAGTTTAGTATGTTCTGAATAAAGAAAAACGATCGTACCTTAAATGAATGGTGAACCGAATTTCCATTTCAGAAAACAATGCAGGAGCTCTGGGGGGGACGCTACAATCGCTACGACACTACTCGTAAGGCGATATCTTGAATGGACGGCCGTATTTTTGAAAAGAAAAAGGTCGGGATTCTACGAAACCGACGAGGCACGTGACGTCAAGATATCTAGTTTCCTCCTCTTTTCGTTTCGCCCCCTCAGGGTGGCGAGGCGAAGACGCGAGGCCGTTCCGTCTCCTTCTCGTTAAAAAAGACGTAACATATCTGTAAAATGCGCCTCCTTTTTTACAAAAAGTACGGTCATCCGTTTGAGATATCGCTGTATGAGATGTTTTGGTGTTTCTAGCACCCCGTTGCATGCTTTTGCCGCCGTGTTTGTGGAACCCAGATTTCGGTTCAGCATCCGTTTAAAGGGCTACTCAACCTAATTTTCGCCATTATTAGAAAACAATGCAGCTCTTTTTAGTACCATCGAGAGCGACCCGTACGCCACATATTATAACGTAATAACACCTACGGGCTATTAAATTGGACAACACAGTCTGTGGTGCTCCGAGTAAAAAAATAAAAACATTCTAAATCAGCGGGTTACGTGCGCCGCACCGAACGCTACTCTTCCGTTTTGGTGAAGTCTAGAGTTGGGGGCGCACTTTATTTCTCTTCGCATTTTTTTGTCCATACAAAGCCTACAGGCTGGGGGAAGGGCGCACACGTTGCTGAGTCACGTGATCTGCAACTCTGAAGATGCGCTGCTCGTAGACATGCGTTGCCCAGACTGCTAAAATCAATTACGTCTTGTCCTTTTTTTTTTTTTTTTTTCTCCGGGGTAGGTTTTGCCGAGGTACGTGTACCGAGGTTCGCCGAGGTACGTCGCCAGGGTACGTTTGCCAAGGTATTCGTGTGCAAAAAGATGCGTGCTTGCGACGACTATAAAAAGGCTCAAGTTGTAGTGCCACTAGCTGCTCTTTGAATACGTAAAACAGGCCAGGAGTGGTCTTCCACAATTTCCCTACCTATAGTCAGTGCGAAAACTTTGGTCGGACACCGTGCAACGATCAGACCGCCAGAAGAAGTGGTCCCCAACTGCCTGAATAGTGTTCTGTTCAGGTCAATTTCTGCCAGAGTCCTACACGCAAGACTTGCGCCTGTTAGCCGACACTGGCTTCTCGACGAATCGTGAGAGACTAAAAACGAACGCCGTGCCCTCGATCTTCGAAAAATCTATAGGGACAAAATAGCATTGCAGTGCTCTTCGCTGCCTCGGATTCCTCAAATCATATGCAGACTTTGCTACGCTTCACCTTACAGAAATGCCTACACATTTTGCAAAACGTTGCCTGCTAAAGCAGAGCGATATGGTACAAACGAGGTGTGTCCAGCGTAAGTCCGCATGGTAGATCACGGGACAACTTGTATCCCACGTGGGCTTACCCCACTTTTGACGTTGGATGTGCAATGTTGCCCACCTTCGCCGAAAGTTTCGGTTTCGTTTTTGCATTCATGGTTATGCAACGATTGCACGCAAATTATTTTACTTTTAATGAAACAAATAGCGTAGGGATCTTCATGAGTGCTTCTTACAATGAGTATATCTATTATCTCGAAATGTTCTAAAATTATCGTGGGTTGCCCTTTAAACACTTAATTTCATTCATCATTATAAAATACCGAGCGTCCGCTCATTCCACAGTACGAGCCCACCCCTCAATGTTGTAGCAATAAAAAACAGACAAAGGACATGTCGAATTTACATTGTTGCATACACATTTTGAATGTGCACTTGATAACGACTTTAAGGTTTGGAGTTTGGATATAAAGCTCGTTGCAAATTTTTAATTTGATTTATCTGTGAACAATGTTCACGTTCAACAGGAGCTGGGACGGCTAGGGAGTAGAATTTCACATGTAATATGCGATACAATTTCAAATAAAATATACAATAGAAAACAAAAAGAAACAAAAGAATGTCACCCATTCGGCCTCGGTGGGTAAAAAGAATAAAAGACGGTTATAATTGCAACAACTTCACTTCAAGAGTACAAAAATAAAAAAGTACGAAAAGTCTACATTATTTCTTGCTCCCCGTGGAGAGAACAAAAACAAAAAACCCTAAATATTTAGCACGTTATATTACATTATTTCGAAATAACGTTTGCAAATTCCTGTGGGCAGTTTATCCATGAAATTTACCGCGGTTGCCTACTCAAGTCACGTATGGTTCTTGACGAAGCCGAATACCAATGCGCGTCGATATAATATATTGGGAGTATAAAGTGGTGCTGACGTTTACCTGCTAGGTATTTTAAGTCGCGAGAATTTAACCTATAGTGGGCACCTACATTGGACAATTGATTGGCGAACATGAAAATACGTTTCTAGTCGTGCAAATCTAAGTCTTGCCACGAGCTGGTTATGAAACAGAATGAAGAATCAGCCAGTCTCGAGCGATTGTTCTCGTGCACCCGTGGGCACCTATCGCCGAAACGTTGACATAAGCTGTTTTTTAGGCATTATCGGTCAGTCTTATATCCGTGCAGTACAACAAAGGTTGGTGCCTCAGAGGTTATCCAAACGCAGACATAACGCAGCAGCAAGAAAGATCACTTTGAATCGAAGGGACTCTGTTCAGGTTAGTACCTGTTCTGTTACAGAAAGTAGCATCACTTTAGTATGTTTGGCGACTTTTTATGGAGAAGTGCCCGCTAAGAAAATTTGCGGATTTAAGGATGTAAAAAGCCTGTTTTAGAGGCTTTCACTCATGCTAAACCCCCTTTCCACGGTCCTTTCGAGTAATACACCCTTTATTATGTTGTAAAATATGATGTTGTTACATGTAACACCCTTCGTATCTTGAAGGGCGCGAAAAGGCTGTGCAAATGTGTGCTTGCCTAAATAGAGACGAAAACTCTTTTTAAAAACTATTCGCCAATCAAAAACAGTTTCAGCGGATGTTGTTTTGGCGAATCTCAGAAGCAATATTAGCTTAAAATAATCCGCTTTACTTTGGGATACTTTTATGGGAGTCAGATATATTCGGCTTTATATAAAAATTGGCTATAACCATTGTACATACTGTAACTCTCTTAAAAGCGGAGGCTGTAACGCTCATATGGGTATCTTTAAATTGTCAAATATGCAGAGTGTTATTTTTTGAAGGTGCAACCGGTGCACGGTTAGTTGTGCAAAAAGTTGCCGGTCTGAATTTTCCGTCTTTATTATTCCAATTTTCGCACCGCCATCATTGTCGCCGTTGCACCATGTGGTAACTTTAGGCCACAACAGCGTTTCTCACGCGTCTCAGATCTTTCTAAACGTTACTTATATTGTAGTTTTTGATGACTCTCAGCAAGTTTCTGATAGAAACCAGGTATAAATTCTTAATAATTTCTTATTTAATTACCCGATTTTAAAGAATTATCCAAATTATCGTGACTACTAGCCACCACTAATATACTCCCCTGATCGTCTCACCCGCACAGACTGCATTAGTGAAGTTTTAACGGACTTTTAGAAACAAATTCTTAAAGTCTAAAGAGACGGTGGTGGAGCAGTCTGCAGGTCCGTGAGTCAAATTAAATCAAATCAAATGAGCGTTGCCTCCATGACCGCTGTGTCCCGCGGTGTTCGCAGACTTGGACGACTTCCTCTAGTTCGTGGTAATCTAGTTCTGGGACAAGCAGATATCCATCATTAAGCGCAAAAAAAAAAAAAAAAAAGAAACTGTACGAGGACAGCGCAGCAGAAGTTGGTTGCACTGTTTCTTCACGGGGTGCGGTATCGTCGGTGACCAGAAGCGCTCCGACTGCAAACCGAAACTTAAAAACCCGTCTAAGTTGTGGGCTTTTTCAGAAAGCCGTAAAATACCGCATCTGCCTTCTATCGTTCTCAAATTTGGTGATTTAGTGTTTTTTTGTCATGCTCAGAAAGATTCAAATTGAAACCATGACCTTAAACTCAATATTAGAAAAAAATAATTACGCGAAAGTAATTAACAACTCAACTATCACGAACTAATTATTCTCCTACATAGGCTCCTGTCCTAGAACCAAAACTACACAAGCCTCTTTTTGGTGAAACGCCCTATATATAGATAGGGTGTTTCATGAAACACCTTATGTGTACAGTGTGTTTCAGAAAACGCAGGCCAAATCGCTCCTGCAAAAACTACTTACCACAACAAAAAAAGGCTTGTGGCGTTTTGGTCCTGGGCCAGGGGCCCTTTTAAGAAAATAATTAAAGTCCCGGATAATTAACTTGTTAATCATTTTTGCGTAATTAACTTTTTTTGAATATTGTGTTTAAGGGCATGGTTTAACTTAGAAAATTGCTCAGCATCATCGAAAACCACTAAATCAACAAATTGAAGAACGATAGAAGGCACGCGAAGCTTTTTACGGCATTCTAAAAAGCCACACAAATTCCACGCGTGTTTAAGTTTCGGTTTGTTATCGGAGCGCATCTCCGCCCCGACGGCACCGCGCCCCGGGAAGAAATAGTGCAACCAACCTTTGCTGCGCTGTCATCGCGCGACGCAGCCGAGTCTGGTTGCACTATCTCTAAACACGGCGCGGTGCTTCCGGGGACGAGAAGCGCTCCGATAACAAACCGAAACTTAAAAATCCGTCGAATTTGGGCGGTTTTTCAGAAGGTCGTAAAATGCTTCGCGTGCCTTCTATCGCTCTGCAATTTGTTGGTTTAGTGGTTTTCGATGATGCTGAGCAATTTTCTAATTTAAACCATGCCCTTAAACACAATATTAAAAAAAGTTAATCAGGCCAAAATAATGAACAAGTTAATTATCCCGGACTTTAATAATTTTCTTCAATGGCCCCTGGCCTAGGACCACAACGCCAGAAGCATTTTTTCGTTGCGATGAGTAGTTTTCGCAGGAGCGATTTGGCCTGCGTTCTCTGAAACACCCGGTATATATATATATATATATATATATATATATATATATATATATATAATTTGCGGCAGTAAAAGCTGTTCCTTTTGTTTTCTGTTGAAACAATGTATGTCCTCAGTCAAACGGTACCTTTACAATGAGCCGGGCGAAACAGCGGCGACTACAGTTCCGCCAGAAAAAGAGCGAACTCGTTTAGCGCATTAGTTGTGAGCGAAATATCTTTCGTTAAAGGCTTGCGAAAACAAAATTCCAGAACTCATATTTTAGCTTTAATGTCTTTCAAGTTGTAGCATAACCTCAAAAACACCAGTCTTGCGTTGAAAGGCACAAGCAAACTAATTTTAAAGCTAATTAAACGGTCTTTCAATGTGCACCTGGTGGATGCATGCGGAGCCTATTTGACAGGTAATCCAGCAACATAGGGGAACTTTCTACGTAGTAATGACGTAACAAGTTCCTTCGGAGCAGCGCCGCTCTTTGGAATTTCAACATTTTCCTTCTTTGCTTTCCTCCTCAACTCACAAATCGCGCATTCAACAAAACAGTGCAAAAAGACAGAAAGGAGGGACTCCCCTCTTTCTCTGACCCTCGCTTGTGTACCCGGAGAGAGTCATTCTTCCCCTAGAAGATTAGCACATCGCTCAAAACTCGGACCAAAGTTGTTTTCCCCACCCCATTCAGCCCTAAGCTCACAGTGCTGTGGAAGCAAAGTGCTCCTTGGGCCAGCCACACGCTCGTCACGCACGGGTACTTCGAACGGCTCCGTTGTAACGCGTTAACGCTTATGACAGTACCACAAGGCTGACATCACCACCAACGGCAAAGCTTATAACCACGCCAGCCTTTTAACGTCACGAATGCGGGGAATCTTTTTATTCTGTTTTTGTTTGCGCCGGCTATCCCATGACGCATCGCGCTCTCCGTTCACTTCTCTTCGAGCGCTTGCTGGAGTGCACCGTTTGGAACGAAAAATATAGCCAGTCGTTCAAAATACAAACGGGCGATTATCATTTACGGTTATTATTCGTCATATTTGACTCATTTTCGAACGAAAATTGAATATTTCAATTTTTGTTTTCCTTGTAGACGCGTTAGACACTGTACACAATGTTTGTTTCCCTTTAAGCACAACATTCTTCTCTGCAGCTTTGGCATCTCGGATCATTCAGGGAACATGTCTCTCCCGGATCGCCTGGCACTTGTTACGGGTGGAGGAAGCGGCATAGGCAAAGCGGTCTGCCATGCCCTGTCGAGAGATGGGGCTATAGTCGTTGTGGCTGACATCAACTTGGACGCGGCAAAGGCAACGGTTGCTGAGTTAAAAGGTTGGTGATGTGTTTGCATTGACACTAAGACTTGTAGACGTGCAAGGAGCAATGTAAAGTGTAAGTTAGTGTGCTTTTTATTTTTTTTGAGTGGCTGTGTTGACGTGAGAACGCCAAGCTCTGATTGGCTCTGATTGAAGGATGGTGGGTAGACTTCAATGCTAGCTGCCTTGAAGATATTTCATATCATAGCCAAAAATAGCTCGGTGTTCTGAAATCACAAAAACCCGTGCAAAAGAGGCAGACGAACTTGCGTACTTGAACGCGAAACTCCTGGGACGGACCGGTGGGATTGAAGAAGATTGGGGGGGGGGGGGGGGGAGGCAGGAGAGAGGGATTGGACAAAAAATTTGATTTACTTTGCAATATTCAGAATTCAAGAAATCAAATTTTAGACAGATATGAATTTGAGAGTTTTGAAAATGAATAATAAATGCTGTTGCTGTTTCATGATTAGAACATGATCCCAAAATCATAACAAACTTGCTAATTGCAACATATTGCCATTACGATAACGATGTTCGCGTATTAATAGCATGTAATTTTTAGAATAGGAAGATTGAAAAACTACTTCACGGAGAAATTTTTTGTCTACAATTTGTTTTACAGCATAGCTGTTTGTGGCTAGCATTACGTGGATTTTTCCTATACGTCAACAAAACCTCACACCGCCCTGTCTTTGTCGTCATTCCAAGCGCTTGCATGCCTAGTTTCATTCCACTCTCCCGAGGTGGCGGTCCCGTCGCGCGTGTTTAGTTTCCTCCGTCTCCTCGGGGCGGTGATAGTTCGCAACCTTTATCAAACTTCTGTGTCACGTCTGCGCCGTGCGCTGAACAACTTCGCTGGTCATCTACCTACACAAAGAGGAATAAATGATGATTTTTATATATTTTAATTTGTCTTTATAAAATGAGCCTTTCATTTCGGCGTTCTCAAAATTATCTGCAATTAAAAAGAAAATAAAGGGCTCATTTGTTTTCGTATAAAATAAATATGACAAGTTGCATCTGAATATAGATATAACCGTCATTAAATCTCACAGTTACAGCACAATGTTTACACGTTGCAAAAAAGTGATCATCCTTAAATAAACGGACTCATCTGTGCAAGATAGACTCATACAAAAAACAGAGGCCTCAAGACGAGGGTGATAACATCGCTGCCGGATAGCTCAGTATTTATTGTACGACAATCAGTGGTCTTCAAGAACGACATTTTTTTTTTCATTGCCTTTTCTGGAGGCGTCGTTTCGCGAAAATAAAAACATATAGGAACTGTCTGGAGCGAGGTGCGGCAGGGTATCAACTTCAAAAGTTTGAAGCGTTTTCTGAACGTAAGGCACGCAATGATGTAAAATTTTTTGGCTGCAGTCATCAGGAGGCTGCATTGCACCCTTCCGTGATCAAAACCTTTAAGCTAAAATAGACGCACGCACTTGAAAATTACGGAGTGTCGGAACTCGCGTCACCGCGTTGCGTTTAGAATGAGTTTCAAATCTCGTCGACCGCTCAGCGTCATCTGTGTGTTCCACTGCTCTGCTCTCCCTACCGGTAAGCAGATGATTTGGGCATTTTTAGTGGATTGTCCACCAATCCACTAAAAATGCCCAAATCATCTGCGTGGATAAAATACCTTTCCTATATAATTAAAGTACAATTACAATTATTTTCCTAAAATTAGTTAATTACAATTAGAATTACCACTGTATTGAAGGTAATTAAACACAACCACAATATAGATTTTAAAAGTAGTGCAAGTATTTGGCAATTAGTTCGCTTTCTGTGCATTCTTATGTAAAATGCCCATCAGTATTACGCGAGCGTGCTATTTTTTCTTCTTAGACCGTAATTCTACCCGAAGATGCTCCCGCAGGTTGGGGCTTGCTCGTCTGCTCGTTGAATAAGTCTTCAGCGACGGCGCGCAGAGTTTGCACTTTACCTATATGTTTTTTTCCGCAGCAGGTAAGCAGGTGAGGATGCTTACCTTCTTGAAATACATTGCATACGATGGTTATGGAAGTCTTTCCTTTTCTATATTTACGCTACTCACCAATGCGCGGGCAAGTGCCCTTCAACTAAGACACAATTATTATTAAAAAAACTAGCCCAGCGCCAGCGTGCCCAACATTCTGGAGCCGTGATTTCAATGTGTCGGACTCTCGTTCAATCAAGTTGGGAAAATAATGAAAAGGGCGAAAGAAAATGAAAGAGAATGAGAACACAAAAAGCCGATGATGTCATTGGTTTAATCTCATGATGGACCTCTGCAAACTTTACGAGCTTAGCGATCTGTTTCAGCACTGGGCGGGCAGAACTGAGGTTCGAAGAGCTCTCTGTTTTTTTAGGTTGCCCGTAGCATTTATTGCAGTCCAGTTTACGGTTACACAGATCATAGTGACGAGCTGCGAAGAGCACCGCCATACATTGAACAAAAAACATTACAGGCAACAAAAATCTCTGAACTCGTTCTGAAGGTGTCAGCGTTTGATTTTCGTGCTAATGCATTATTTCTTCTTATCTGGGGAAGGTTTCACTTTATTTTGTTTTTTGGCAAGTAAAGAGAAATAGTAAAGAGAAGTGCGGCGGTGCCGACTTTCCAGTCTCATTTGCTTAACCATTCTTTTTAGCGTCGTCGGACGCTTGCCCGCCCATGCTTTAGGTGCAATGCGGGTCTTTTTGCTCGTGCTGCAGCTCTGAAAGCAGTTCAGCGGTATGTGCAAGGTCGATCAGCAAATAAGAGAAGAATGAGTTTCGGTGGTGCAATAGGTAACTTTAATTTCAATTCAAGTCTCTTTTTTACTGCAGTGTAAATGTAATTAAATTTGATCAAAAGAAATCAATTACAATTACAAATTACCTACAGAAATATTTCAATTACAGTAATTTAATTACTGTAACTGATTTACTATCCAAGCGTGGTTGGTGGCAGTTGTGTGAGATAGAGAGAGCGCTGTGAGTGTAAAAGTCAGTTCTACACGAAACGTTATGAATGCCTTGAGAAAAGACTACACTCTAAGAAAAAAGGGAGGAGAAAGGTAGCAAAAGCGACAGTTCCTCCTTGTTGCGGACAAGTTGCCCAGAGAAGGGAGGAACGGCAGTTCAGATGAAAGGAGGAGGGCGACTTCCTCCTTGTTCAGTTGGCGCAGGGGTAGAACATCGCGCTACTGACCGAGTGGTCAACGGTTCGATCCCCAGAAAAGTAAGGTTTTTTTGTGTGTTTTTTTGTAAAGTTTTTTTTTTTTTTTATTATTTTTGTTTACCAAAACACACATAAACAAACCCAGACCGATGAAAGGAAAATTAAAGTCCTTATTATTCTCCGAGACGTTTTCCTCCTCCAGGCAGACCGGAGAAAGCTTTCGCCCTCCCGACCCATCTTCTTTCGGTTTCGTTTTTCGAGCACATCGCGCACGTTGTTTAATAAATTAATGTTGAGTTGATTGAGCTTCAGCGGCAGCGAAGGCCGCCTGAAATTCCGTCTTCTAGTGCAAACGTGCAGAACATTTCGGTTGCATTGACGTTTTTACCACTAATTTTATCAAACGAGCTAACGAAGCCGCTAGAAACAGCGAAGTTCCGGAGCAGTGCCAGCAGCGCTACATACACTGGGTAAGACGGCCGTCTCCAATTTGCGGGACACACGCGGAACTACAGCAGCGAAACCACGAGGAACTGTGTCGACGTTTTCGACGTTATGGAAATCGCGGGAACTGCGTCCAAGGAAGGCAGGTTTTCCTGCCGGCTGCCTGGGTGCCTTCCGTGCTGAGTTCGGTTCCGTTGTCTCATGCCGAGTGCCAACCGGCGTTCAACGTAATTCTTCTGCGTGTCAGCAACATCGTCAACGTGGTTCTGTATTTCTTCGTGTCAGCGACATCGTGATGGCAGTGTTGTGGGTTGTGAACAGAAGACTGGAATTATCGCCGATGTGACCGTGTGTTCGCGTATCAGTGGTGTAACAACAAGATGAGATGACGTAAACTGTCGGGCATTGATGCCGCTGGTTGGGCCGTTATCGGAGGGGCCGGGGTGTCGCAGGATGACGTTCCGCTTTACATTAAAGAGTTTAAAACCACTTGAGGGATTAGGTGCAGTCGATCGACGTGTGGATAGTCATGTTGGAACGCTGGTCTGAACGGTAACCCTAGTAGCACCGAATGTTGCCACAATGTTACTGGAATGTGGTCCGCCAACGTTGTGTATACGTGGCTAATGTCCGCAAAATGTCACGTCGCTGGAACGTTATCTGAAAACATTCCCGTAACATCACAGTAAACATTTGTGCTATGTTATGCCCTCAACATTTGTGCTATGTTATGCCCTCAACATTTGTGGTATGTTATGCCCTCAACATTAGTGGAACATAATTTATTAACATTGTTTATATATTTCCAATGACCACACAGCAAACATTTATGGTATGTTTTGTCCTCAACATTCGTGTAACATTAACTTGGTGTCTCAAGTAGCAGCCAGGCTCTTTAAATCAACCGTGAAATTTGGTTTCTTAACCTATTGCGCTAGGAGTTTTTGCAGCGTTGCCCACAGGCGGTGCATTTTTTTATTATAAAAATTGCAAAGAGCGAACTTACCTGAGGAAAAAGTAAAGAAAGAAAAAAGGGTTAACTCTTTTGGAAATTCAGCGAAGGCACCAGTCTTCAAACAATAGGGCGCCCTATTTTTGAAGACCGTTGGCTTCGCTGCATTTCCATTGCAGTTAAGCCTTTTTCTTTCTTTATTTTTTCCTCAGTTAGTTCGCTCTTTGCAATTTTTATAGAGAAAAATACACCACCTGTGGGCAACGGTGCACAAAATCCTAGCGCGACAGGTTAAGAAACCGAATTTGGTGGTCGATTTAAAGAGACTGGCCACTATTTGAGACACCCAATATATTGCCAATTGACCACTACTTTTCTACATGAGCTACATTATAAAAAAATCAATTTACCCACAACAAGGACAGCTAAAAACGGACAAGCACATATACATAGCCGCAGTGTGCTA